AAAGTGCTCAAACACGCATAAATCAGATCGCGTGCGTAGGACAGATTAATCACATTTTGCCACCAACAGCATTATAAATTCAGGCTGACATTCCGGCCATTCGTTGTGCTCCTATAAATTAGGCTTATGGCAACGAGGTTTACGTCTGAAAAATTGCACTTAAATCTGTTGAACCGATGACAGTAACTGGAGAAGGAGCGCTGTCTTCGCCTCAAATGCTGTTCCCTTTGCTGCAGAATTTGTCCATATTTTGTTCATTTTTTCATAAGGCATGTGCTGCTCGTTTTCCTGGAAAAAATCGTCGCACTAATGAAAACGCCAGCCTATATAATCCAGCCTGGACAAATATTTTCCGGCACGTCGGGTCTCAGGTGCCCTTAATGCAGCGCTTTAATGTATTCGCAAAATGAAGCGTGAAAATGGAAGAATTAATATGTCACAGTCAGGAATTGCCTTGTTGTCGTCCCGCAAGTGACCATTAGTCATACAAATTGGCAACTGGCTATTTTTGTTTCTAGTTTGCCGTCAATTTTATTAATAAATCCACTATTGTAATCTGAATGCTGCTATTATTGGACGTGGAATGGAATTTTCCAAATTCATTCCACTTGAACCGAAATAGCTGAAAAGTTTCGACTTTACTCCATCATCAGGCATTGTCTGCTGCGTTTCCAAATTATGAAATAGAGAGATGTTTGGCAGAGAACACACAGCTTTTTCTACAAGCAATTTATTACAAGGCTGTGAAACACTCAACATGATTCGAGGGTATAACTCATTTTCAGACCCGAAGGCCCCTAATTTTTTAATTTAAATGTGCCTAATGCAGCTGTTCTTATAAGGGCATATTCGCCAAATTATACCAGGTCCCATCCTGTGAATACAATTCGAGTTAAACATGGAAAAAACGATTTTCTGGGCTAAGGTACTCGTAAGTAGTCTTTTTTGTCCAAAAACTGGAAAATTCTCGAAAGGCTTTGAAAGCCACAAAATTTAACATCAATTAATTTTCCAAAAGTTCGCATTGAAAATTCTTCGCTAATTCGATGTTTTCTAGAAAAGTTTATAACGTTTTGCAATTGTTCTCATATTGCAAAGTAGCGAGAAGTTTGACAAAGAATACACACAGTCTTCTCTTCAATACAGTCTTCTCTTCAGGCAATTTATTACAMATTTGTCTGARACCCAACATGTTTCGAATGTATAAACTACTCATTATCAGACTCTGGGTCCCTGATGATGAGTAGTTTATACACTCGAATCACGTTAGGTTTYTAACAGCCTAGYCATAAATCGCTTGTGGAGACGACTATGTGYGCATGTATTGGACAAARTTTTATTCACCAACCACTTAGAATTTAGCATATATTTTTATAGATTAATTTGGAAATGTGARTAAAACTTTTAAATTTTGTTTGAGGGCGAGCAAATGAGGTCGCTTCTGTTCACATTTCAAAGTTGTGTTCACATTATAGATTGCCACTTCTTTTGRTATAAAAACTATGTGATTTTGAGTAGGYTAAGCGGTTCTGATTGTTTCCTTTAGTGTTGTGTTTAAGAGCCTCTGCAAAGTCAGACTTGCAGTAGATTCGAGTGAGACTTTGCCTTGTGATAGATTAGAATATTTGCTGCCAATCAGCTACAGATTCACCCAGTCACTTAACTTTATTAGATAAGGAAATTTTTTATGTGCGACTGCACCTGCCCGAACCCCTTTTATTCAAAGCCATTTTCTGAGAAATCAGTATCAGAACGAATCAGAGTGAATATAAGTGAAACTTTTCAAAATTGTTTGAAGGGTTCTATGCGAGCAAAAGAGGTCGCTTCTGTTTACCATTTCCCGGTTGCCAAATCAAGCTTGATTATGCCAGTAGTTTTTCCAACATTCCAAATTCATCTTCATGCTGCATATTGCGAATACATCAAAGTCAGACTTAATAACACCTGAGCCCCGGAAAAGGGTTGCATTTTTATGAACGAGCATTTTCATGGACACGACAGGCATTGAAAGGACCACAATAAAAATGTGGAAACTTTTATGCAATTTTGTTTGCCATCGATGGAATCGCATTATTTCTTCGGCTGTTTGCGTTTCAAAATTCGACGAACTAATCATGGGAAAAGCGCCAAATTGAGTTCGGTTGTTTCACTCATTATTTGAGTAATATTACGAGGGCTCAAAGTAAATACGTCCCCAGGACCGATAAAATTGAATTGCGGTGATCCTTCCTTAAAATAATATTCTTAATTGCTTTGGAGGATTGCGCAAAGAACGTCGTTAATACGACATGAAAAGGGAAAAACACATCATTCGTTCTTTCTTCTCAATTTCGTTTCGCAAAAGAATACGGTTTTGGTTGTGGGACGGTGGCTTTGCAAGGAAAATTGAAATAAACTAATTAAGTTGCGGTATTGAGGAAATTTGCCAAATGTAAAATTAAAATGGCTTTATTTTTCTTTTTGTCCTTGTACGCTTTTCTGGATGTTTTAGGCAAAGGAAATGTTTCAAGTCATCAGGCAACCAAAGTCATGTACTTCAGACTGTTTGAACCATATGCCATAAAAAATCTCATTTGCAAACCTAAAATACCATCAACCTGAAATTTTAACACTGTAAAAGGAACATTCAAATCAACGCTCAGACTAGGTTTAAGTAGAATCCAGAGTATTTGTGATTTTTCAGAAGCCTCAAACTTAAGTCCAAAGGGCAGCAATTACGTACGCCGGCAGAGACACATTTTTCTTTATTTCCACTCTGAGAGAGGCAATTGACCTCTCGAAGTCTTACTGCATGGAAGCCAACATTTTCGGCAATAACTGGACACGGTTTCACTTTAATCGGGTCTAATTTGGATTTTTAACAGCCTCTCAAACACGACTCTAGAACGATACAATCAGAAGCACTTGCAAAGGTTCATCCAAAACATGTATTTTCCAAATTAAAGCACGCAACAGGCTGAAAATTTAACACTGTTGAGACAACAGTCGTGTTATCCAATGGCCAGACTTTCACTCGAATTCGTTCTGATCCTGATTTTTCAGAGGCTCTAGAAAAATGCCTTGAAAAGTGCTTTGCTGGGGCAGATTGAATAAATGCGTCTATTTAGACTGAAGTAATTGACCCCTGGTAATCTACGCACGTGGTGTCTTCCCAACATTCAGGGCAAAGTTTGACTCAAATCTGATCGAAATCTTAGTTTTCAGAGTATCTCAACCACGAACCTAAAAGAAAACAACAGGCGACTAGCAACGCATTTAAAAAAAACTCTAGTTTTCAAACAACAGCAAGCAGCAACTCGAAATTTCAACACTGTTGCGAGAAAACACAAATTATCAATCCTGCACAGTTTCGCCCAATTTCTTTCTGATCGTAATTTATCAGAGGGTCTAGAAACTGACTTTGAAAAACCGCAATTTAGACACTTGCAAACACATTTATTAGACACATTTGAAAAAATCCCCTTATCAAATGAAAGCTAGTGACAACTTTTTAGCACTGAAATAAAACACGAGACAAAGTTTCACTCGATTCCACTGCAACTGGGATTTTTCAGAGTCTCTCAAATATAGCTCTAAAGGAAATAGGCAGGTTCACTTGTAACGACCCACTAAAAATAATTTGGTTTTCAAACCAAAGGAAGTAGCAACCTCGAATTTTAAAACACCCAAACTGTTTGGGGTTTATATCAGTAATTAGACAGAGTGCCGCTCAAATCTCTGATCCTGACTTCTTGGAGGCTCTACAAAATTACCTGAAAAAGACGCCTTTTAGACAGTTGCAGTCGCAGATTGAAAAAATTCCCATATTCAAAGAGAAGTAAGTGACGACTTGAATCTTTAGCATTTGCAAACCAATATTCAAGTCATTGATGAGGCAAAGTTTCACTCAAATATACTACAACGCACATTTCTCAGACGCTCTCAAGCCCCTAAAGCAGTACAATCGGAACTACTGGCAAAGGCTCAATCAAAACACTATAGTTTTGAAACCAAAGGTGGTGGCAATCTGGAATTTTAGCACAACTGAAACAAGGTTTACATTAGTAACTGGAGAGAGTTTCACTCAAATTCGGTTTAATCCTGACTTAACAGGGGCGTGCAAAAATTGCTATGGAATAAAATATGTGGTTGGCCAATTCAAACAATTCTCTTATGCAAACAGAAGTAAGTGGCGATCCGAAATTTTATCTCCTGGAATCCAGCAGGCGAAACTTGTCATAAATCTTGGACAATTCTGATTTTTAGAGTCCCTGAAACTTGACTCGACGAGCGAAACAACCAAAACAACACTTGCGTTATCAAGCTGACAAAGTTTCACTCGAGTTCGGTCCGATCAGATTTATCAGATGTTCTGGAAAATAATTTAAAAAAAACGCTTGAAGCTGCAGATTTAAAGAATTCTCCTAATTGAACCAAAGGACCTCTGGACATTTAAGCGCACGGACAACAAGGTTCAAAACAATAATCTGGCAAAGATTCGCTTGAACCTGGGGAAATTCTAATTTTTTAGACTCATAAAGACTCTTAAGGGAGGCAGTCATTAGCACGTGCCAAACTCTGTTAAAGAAAAGCTAGTTTTCACACAAAAGAAGCAAGTGGTAGCTTGAAAATTTAACAGGGCAAAAAGAAAATGTATTGGCGCAACCAGAGAAAGGTTTCACTCAGAATGAGTCCGATCCTTATTTTTCAGCGGCTCTGGAAGATGACTCTGGACAAACGCTAACTGAACAATTGCACATGCTTTTTCAATTGCAATTTCTGCAGTCGTTTACTCTTGCGGTTGTGGTTTGGAGCCGTTTCCAAGTAGATAACCATTCAAATGAAGCACCGAATGTTTTTTTTCAATAGAACAGCGTAGATTGTGATCCATTCACATTACATGGTTTATCGCTTGTTAGTGCCCAAAGAGTCAATTTTCCCCTTAGTTTGCCATTGAAATCCCACATGCAAAATGGGGTCCAAACATGTCACCTCTGATTTATCGAATCTGTCTGTTTCAGATGCATCACCCCATACAAATGAAGCCGGCCGACAGCGAGAACAGAAATGGTGAGTGGATAGATACTCGCGAATTGGTAATTTGCATGCGCCCTTATCCGTTTCAATTACGGCAGAGAAAAACTGTGGAAAAACCCTGCACTGTTTAGGGTGTTTGATTTCGTCAATTTTACCTCCATTCACCGATTCGAAAATGTTTGCGATTGCATTGCGTTTGCTTCTTCGCCCAATCCAATATTGCCATTAAAATTGCCCGAGTCGCGATTGACTGCATTCAGCGTAATAAAATGGCCCAAGTAATGGAATTGCATTTTAAATAAAATATTCGTCTGCACGCCATGCTATTCGACTTCAGACGGTAAATAGTTGCACTTTTGAATTAGGGATTTTTGTTATGCCCTTTTACCATTCAATTCCACTAGCATTGATCGCAGTTGGACGAAATTCAACAGTGGGTTTTTGATCTTAACTAACTAAAAAACTGAACTTGGGGAGACTAATTTCTACATAAAAATTGCTGTGAAATGCCTTGGATTTTTAACTTTTGCTCAAGAAAAGAGGAGCATGTATTACTTCCGCATCGTATTTTTAAGGTTTTGCACAAATCACTTGCATTATTTTGCAGAAGTAGTAACCAGCACCAATATTAAGTTTTTACTTGAATTTATTATGCAGAATTCATATATGCACATTCAGTCAGCAATATGAGATCAGATTGCAAAATATCTGACCTAAAATCCAGGCAGAAACTCATTGGTTAAGGAAATTTGTTCTTAATGATGGAGAAGTCGATATTTGCGCGAACACTGGTCTCTTTGCAAGCACTATTCTGCCGGAATTTGCTAGCAAATTTATTAACACTCGATTAGTTAAGCTTCGGGCTTTTTGAGCTTCATCCCGCTCTCTTCTTAATCACGCTGTTCCTACAAGGGCTATTTGCCAGCTTATGCGAGGCTGCATTCTGGAAAATTTGCAATAAACTTATAGTTGAACATGAGAAAATCGATTTTTTTGGGCCAAAGCAAGTGAAAAAAAGCATTTAAACGACTGATTGGCTGAAGTGGAAGAAAGTCATCCGGTTTAGTTTGCCAATAAAAAGGATTGATCTGTGCTCACAGCGAACCCTTCTTTGGCAAGAAAGGGAAAAATTTAGGCAGGCTTTGCAAGCTCTAAAGTTTGAGCGTGAAGTCATTTTTTGAAAGTTTGGAGCTAAACGTATGATTCGGAAAAAAACGTGCTGTTTTTCGCAGAAGTCATTTTTTCAAAGTTAGTATACTTTTTGAGATTTTTTATCTAAAATGGATTATCGTACCAACAACGAACAAATATTGATCGTTTTAGTCAAAACCAGCAGATGGAACTTTTATTACTCGAAACCATAAATTTGACTACCTTTGATCTAAAAGAAATTTTCGTTCATCGGTTTTCTTTCCGCTAAATTTCTTATTTGAGATCAATTTCTCACTTTTACTTAACTACGTTCTTCCTATAAAGCAATTTATCAACTTATGCGGGGTTGAATTCGGGAAAATGTGGAATAAGCTTCACTTAAACATGGAAAAACGATTTTTTTGGCAAAAGCAATAGAAAAAATTGGCATTTTTCGACGTAAAGCAAGCAGTGAAACGTTAAACGAATATTTGGCACTTTAATAATGGGCTGAAACGAAAAGCCCTCAACATTCTTTATTTAGTTTGCCAATAAAATGCATTGACTTTCGCTACAGCAATTATTTGGTAAAAAGTTGATAAATTTAGAAAGATTTTGAAAGTCACAAAGTTTGAGCCTTTAGTAATTTTCCGAAAGTCTCGATTAAAAATTAGAACTATGGAAAAACTGTTTTTAGCAAATAGCTTCATTAATTCGGTGTTTTCTAGAAATTTGGAAAACTTTTCGCGATTTTTCAATGAAAAAGTCATTATAGTACTGACAGSGAACAAATCTTGCTTTTTYAAGTRAWAAGCAGGAAATRKAACTTTYATAACTSAAAAATACTCATTTSRCCGATTTTGCTYCGAAATTTTTTGAAWGATYACCASTCTGCTTSAGAGCAAAACTTATTATTTGTRMACAAATTYCCACTTTTTSRAATAAATCRGGCAATTTTGAAGAATCAAGRAATACTTTACTTYGCAGATTTTATAAATTGGAATCAATTTTCTTATTCAAAGTTCTTATAAACMCCGAAAATTGTTKGCCTAAAACACAAATATGTATTTTTAATMTAAAGCTTCTACGAGTTTCAGTTAATTTARTGGTCTTCGCACCGTTTCTYGTTTTCTTYGTTTTSATGRAGAGAWTSWTGMTKAAAWGWKGWWCAAAATTGMACTKAAYTTGAGAAACTTCGTGCCGAAYCARAGGGGCGAATGAAGAGCTGCAAATGTTGCTTGCGATTGACCAATTTCTGAATTTAAATACATTTTTAACGAGTGCAGGCAAACTACTTTCTTCGTTGAGATAAGCTCTAAAACACTGCAAAATCTGCATCCTCCTTTACAAGATCAGGGCGTTAGAGCGATGGGTTGTAGTTTTCAGGGCATTTTGGAGGATTTTTTAGGTCTTTGAGGGTCTAATCGCTCGTATTTGGACGGAAAGCTCCGTAAGTTAACTGGGCCTTCTCAGTCCTCCTCAATTCTCTGCTGTACTTCGGTTAATTCTCATATCGTTACTACTTGAAAATGTAATTAAAGAATGTTGTGGCTGCACTGTAGTTCGTTCCAGTTTCGAACCTAAAGCTAATTTGAAAATTCAGCCAACTTTCCTTCGCCATTTTATCAGAAACACCCAAACCCGCCGCTCTTTCTGGTGATTGCGAGCGAAAAACACACTCCCAGCCAAAAAAAAACGAAACACGGGCAATATTCATTGGAAAGCTGCTGGTAAAATAGCCGATTCGTATCCGTACAAGTTTTTGTTTGTATTGCTCGCGCTTCTCTATTTGCGCGAAAAAAACGTCGAAATTGAAATTTAATCTCTACAAAAATGAGTTTGGCCCGCTTTTTAAATGGGAATAAAGCGGAAAGGGAAAACATGGGGGCGGCATAAATACACACAATGCCGGAACGTTGTTCACTTTTATTCGCCCGCTCCTAATGGGAAATAAAAAGGTATGGCTGAGGGCTATTTGAAGATCATCGGGAGCTGCTTGTCCTAAATCAGTATTAGAGTATGCGAGAAATACGCTGCCGATATCTGAATGATTTGCTTTAATTAAAAATTCCCATTAAATTGAATTGAGTACTCTACCGCTGATTAGTGGCGATATTCCTGCTGCTATCGAAAGAAATTCCAACAAACTTTAATACAGGATATTGCCGATAAAACAAGCATTAGCATGACGAGCGCTTACAAACGCTGATAACAAAAGGTATTATAACATGCTTTGGCTAATACTCATTCCCTTCGGGCCGCCACTCACATTTATATACAGTGTGGACGTTAGTCTCCATTTATTTTTCTGAAAACTGAGGCCTGGACTTTTGATTTACTGTTTTACATACATTTTTAAAAAGTCGCTTTCAAATTGGCGTCTGGGCGTCATTTTTATTTTAAAAATTAACGGAAAGGGGAGTTCCCTCTTGCGACACCTCAAATGAAAGTGTTTTGATCAGATTCAATCAGATGCCCAGAAAAAAAATTAGATACTGGTCCAAAGCAGGAAAAAACAAGAGGAAGAACATGTGGGAAATACAAAAAACAGATGCTTGTTAAAAAAAATCACGAAAGTGACTGAGGAAACTCAATGGCATTCTGATGCTTGATGATGATAAAAATTTGGAGCTGAATTAAATCCCACCTGATTTGAAGACTTAGAAGAGATTCAAGAAAAGCCATGTTTTACATCGAAAAATTGCTAGTAACAAGTGCCGATGCAAACGAACTCGAACGCAATTTTAATAAAGAATCGAGCAAGACAAGGTAGCAGGATGATTGTGCCGCATTCTGTTAACGAATAACACAAACAAACAGCAAACGGTAAAGCTTGTGTTTTCAATAAAGTATGCAGGGACGGATCCAGCTTTAAATTCAGGGGGGTTATGTAGAAAAAATACAGTCTTCTGTTGTCTATGAAATTAGAAAAATTATCGTCGTTTTGTGCAAGGGTGGCGTAAGATTATTGCAA